CGGGGGCGGGGCCTTGCTCGTGTTACACGTGTTAAGATATCGGGCTGACAGGACGGCCTGGTCGTGCAGAGCCTTGCGGGGGCCGTTCCGGGCCGGCTGGGGCCCCAACAAACCCCTGCCCTCCCAACACATACTCTCGGTGTGGCGGTGTGGCTGCAGCTGGCTCATTTCGACGACCCGCACGGACCGCATATATCGGCACCGTTTTACGTGCTCGGAGGGGAGGCGGTGGGTAGGGGGAGGACACACTCCATACTGCCTCAAAGTGCTTAGCGTTTCGACTGTCATTGCGACAGTTAGGGGGGGGGGGTCTGCTGGTCACGAGCGCGACTTGTTCCTGCTGTTGCAGTGTGTTTGTGTGTTGAGGCGGGTCAGTGCGACGGCCTGGCTTCACGGTCACTCCTCGCGCCCCACTCCGACTCGTATGAATCATCTCGCTCGGTTCCGCTCGCATAAAGTACGCGACACTCGGAACGACACGCGCTGCAGACCCTTTCACTCGCCCGGCCCGGCAGTGCGGGTGCGACATTCACCGCGGAGGCGCCAACAGGGAGGGTTCGCTTTGGGAAGGCCTTGTGAAAAGCTCCTCTTATTTACAGGCTCGCGGGCCAATGTCGGCCTGCTTGCTGGCGGATTACACTGCGAACGGCCCAATCACGGGCCTTTGGTTTAGACGCGAGGGTTTGACCGCACCTGACATGAAGAGATGGAGGGCGATGAGCAGGAGCGGCGCCCCCAGCTGGTACCAGGGAAGGCGCGCCGGGCCTCGAGCCGGCCCTCTAGCCCGCGTGGCCGCCATGGCCCTCGTAATCCTCGTGGCGCTGCTCCTATCGGTGCTGGCGCGGTAGGGGAGGCGCGCGACACGGCACTGGAAACTGATTGGTTCGGGACGGACGCGAAGGTGCTGGGCCGCTCTGCAGGACGGCCGCCGGCAGACTGGCCTGGCTGGGGCCCGGCCCCCGGCCCGGACTGAGCGCCCCCAGACCCCACCGGGGCCCCCTCGGCCCCCACCTCCTGCGACTCGAGCGCTCCCGCTGTGATGGGGAAGTCATCTATACCTTGGTGTTGCAGGAGCTCGGCGCTGGCCAGGGAAGCACCAAAGCGGCGGATGTGCTGCAGGAGACGGAGCGAGCTCTCGCTCTGCACATGGTCCACGTCCATGGCCGCCTGCAGCTCCGGGAGAGGGAGCTGCTGGCGCAGCTGGAGAAGAAGCGATTCGAAAACGCGTCCCTGTTCCGGACCATGGAATCGCAGCTGTCCTCGTCCCTATCCGACCTGGAGGACGCCATGCGCATGGCCCACGCTGCGTGTCTGCCGGACAACCTGGCCACATCCAACCTCACGGAGGTGCACAGTCGCTTGTGTCAGGCCATGACTGTGCCGGTTCACCTCCTTAAAGGCAAAATAGGCGTTGAGTGAGTCCCATTACTTCCTACTTTTTTATGTCTTTGGTATGGTGTAGTTGTTTGTTTCCTTTCCTCCAGTAAGTCTTTTTGTCTGTGTGCAGGTTAATATTGAATCAGGAACTGTTTGATGAAATTGATCTCATCAAATTAAAATTGAATGATGATGTGGGGTACATGCTTGTGAAAGAGGATGATTTACCCCCTGAATATGTACTTCCAGATATGTCTGGTAAAAGCTTAAGTGATTTTGATCCATGGGAGCAAGGTAAGGCATTTTCTTCAAATATAGTTAATTAATTTGCACAATTGCAAGTGAATTTTTGTTGATGTTTATTTTTGTGTACATAAGTTAAAATCTAAATTAAGAAGCTAAGATTCTCTATGCTAAAAGTACAAACAATTTTGTTTGTTACAGATTCTACCTCAGATATTGGGAATATTAGTTCTGTGTCTACTGAAAGTTGCCAAACATCAGCATCTCTTTCACAAATTTCAAATAGTTCGTCATCTTCTACAATATCAACTGTATCATCGTGTCCTATTCTCATCCCAGCTGGGGCTAGCATCTCCCGAAAACAGAAATTTGTCATAACCGACCCCAGAGATGAAATAGGTTTTGGTGTGTACATATGTTAAATACAATTGCGTTAATCAATTAGTTCCCAAATGTTTCATCTAAATCTCTCTTAAAATATTTTTTTATAGGTGAAACAATTCAGGTAAAAATATCTCACATAAAAAATCCTTTGGACTTTTATGTAACATGTAAGAGACATGAAGAGAAATATAATACACTCTTTGAGGAAATCCGAAATGAAGCTGACTTGTACATGGTAGCCAATAACATAACAATAAGTAAGCAGTCTTCTTTCAATTTCGACTCCTTTTTCAAAACAACTCTGTTGGTTTTTTTTTATTTTTATATTTTTTTGTATTTGTTAGATGAGATATATCTAGTTGATGGCAATGATGATAAAACCTGGGGCCGTGCTCTAGTTACTCAAAGAAAATCTTCTGTGCTGGTTGAAGTCTGTTTCATTGATTTTGGAAGTTTAGCAACAGTACAAACTTTCAGGTATTTCCCTTGTTTTAGGCCGCTGTTACTTCCTCTCAAGTCCATTGTTTTATTGACATTCTTTTCTATCTATCATTTTAGGCTCAAAGTTTTACCTTCCAAGTTTGCCACTATTCCTCCCCAGGCTTTGAGATGTGGGTTAAGTGATCTGTACCCTAGTGATGAAACAAGCAAGTTAAATTTGAAACGATCATTTTTTGAGATGCTTGCTAGTTTTGACGGGTAAAGCTATTTGACACAAACATTACTTTTTGTAAAAAATATTTTTTTATTTTATTTTTTCATACAAATTCAACTTTAACATTTTTATCCTTATATTATAACTTTTAGGAAATTTATTGAAATGCATGTTTTGGGTATTGAAGAAAATAAGTTTAAAGTTGACCTCTCCACCAATGATCCAATGTGTCCCATCTCCTCAGTAAGAGATGCATTGCTCTACCTTGGTGAGGGTTCCTTTCAGAGAAACGAATTCCCATCAGTGAGTACTACTATGGCATTTTAAAAAGAGGATTTTATTTTGCTAATAATTGTTTTTCTTTACTTATATTTTACCTTGTTTATATTCAACTTATTCATTCCAGTGTACCAACAAAAAGGGTCCCTTCAGAGGTTACCAGCCCAGCCACAATCTGTCACTACATGCAAATGTCAAAGTTTTAATTTCAAATGTGGACCTTCCTACAAGTTTCAACATCATCCTACTTGATGTAAGATTGTCAGCAAATTTTAAAAGTTAAAAGTTTCGTCTGTAATCAAGCCTAGCATTTATGCCCTGTGTCAATTTA